ATTAAACCCCATTTAGAGTTCGGAGGTTTTAGGGTCAGATTTCCTTCTTGTCACCGCTAAGATCGATGGATGTGACCTCTGACCAATCTGCTCCGATCTGTTTATAAACACGGCGGCGGCCAATCACGGCATCGCGTGGGCTTGTGCCAACCAATGAGCAGGCCTCCGGCGATATCATGCTCTGTGGCACTCCCATCTTTTGTCCGTCAGGATTAGTGCCATGGCAACGCTGGCCGCCTGGGAGCTGAGTTTCCCAGAGGAGCGGGACGAGGACAGAAACAGACTGCTTCAGTCCAAGTCTAACTTCCTTCCCGGGCCAATGAGAGAACAGAACTAAGGTGGTGTGTGTGTGAGTCCAAAACTTCCACAAAGAGTGCCAACTCTAATGAGGTGCCATCCTGAGCCACAAGCTCAAAGTTTGTTTGTCTGTGTGCGTGAGTAGGTGGGTGCATGAGGGGCTGTTGTTCTGTGTTCTGTTCTGTATGGGGTAAAGTCACACCACTCTCCCTCTCTTTTTTTCTCAATGGACTACATTAACCAGAAGGGCAGCGGGCCAGGCAGCTGAAATCACCGCTGCTGATGAGGCATGTGACTTCAGACCGAGGCCTCTTTGTTTGGACAATTACAGCCAACACACAGAGCCCTGGAAATGTCGCGTGACATGGGAAGAGAAAAGGATGAGCATGAATGAAGCTCGGGAATAAATTAAACCAGAATGTGCGTACTGCTGCATGGTCGCAGTGATTGGAAAGTTTAAAATATAAGTTTTTGTTTAAACCGCTTAAGGTGCCATTGGTCGTGTTTTTGCATTTAGGCATTTATCGACTATAAAACGAGGGATTTGCACTGATTCGAAAGCACGAAATACTGCAATTCAATACAGCTCTTAATTGGCAAAGAAACTGATATCAAATTGCAAACTTCACACGTTAAACACATGACACTTTTTCCCCAAGTATCTGTCGAGCAAGCAAAGTGAGAAGAGCAAATGATGTGCCGTCGTAGAAATAGAGTAAGAGGTTTTTAGTTATGAAAATATTAACAAATGCAGATACAATGAGAGGACAATTTAGTGAAAACATTGATAGGGAATCTCTTGAATAAGACTCCTACTGGCCGTTTGTGGCATCGCAGTTTAAAGTATCTGCACTAAAGTTTGCAGTATTTGAGAACTTCAGCTTAGCCCCTCAAAGCACTTGTTTATTACAGTGATCACACAGTAAAACATACACACACACACACCCCCACACACACACGCACGCACATACACACACACACACACACACACACACACCACACACACACACGCACACACACACACACACACACACACACCCCCCCCCCCCACACACACACACACACACACACCACCCCACACACACGCACGCACATACACACACACACACACACACGCACACACACACACACACACACACACACACACACACACACACACACACACATATACATATAATTATATACACATTTACAATATATTTACTATAAAATTTACAATATAATTTTACTTTAAGTTTCAAGTCTTGCTATTAGATTAGGCAATCTTAATAGTAAGATTACTATTAGTCTAATCTTATTATTAGACTAATAGTAAGGCTTTATTTAACCAACCTTACTATTGGCAGACAAGACTCACAGCTTCCAAAATCCCAAATGTACCAGCAAATTTATGATTCCACCATGCAGACATGTTTTACTATTGGACATAAAAATGTTAGCTCTGTGAAAGTTTATGATATTGATGAATATTACACCTTTGCAGTTTGTTTCAACTTTTAGAGGAGTAATAACCAAAATTGTGGAAAGGCATCAGCATATCTGAGTCCTCACTGGTGCTTGGACACGCCTACGCACTGTGACCTGGCACCCCTGTGTGCATTGGTCATCAGAGAAGTAGCGATGTCGCCCTGATGGCATGGCGACAACTTAATCTTGCCCATATATTTTGGCAGCACTCAAAGTCATTTCCTGCAACACTCTTGGCAGCGTTGCTGCTATGCACCTCGTGTCTTTCCTCTGCCCTGGCTGCAGCCCGGGGGATCTCACGTATCCATTAAAATAAAAAAATCACAAGCCATGCCAACACCTACAGGACCAACATTAGGCCTCTCGTGCACAAAGATCAGTGTGCGCTGAGTTTGTGGTGAAACATGACTCTCAGCTGTGGTGGACGAAAGCTGGCTGACAGATGAGTTTCTCAGGCTGCAGTTCAAGATGTGCATTTTATGCTGTCCGTGAAAATGTACCTGTTTCAATGACTAAACGTCTTGATGATCAAATATCTCTATTCAAATTTGTGAAGCCTGGTATCGAATTCTGAAAAATGCACTTTTAAAACCCCTGCATGCCTGGATTTTAGGGGTGCATAGGTCATATGGCACAAATTAAGAAAAGATGAAACGCTCCCCTTGACAGGCATGGTATAATAGGATCATCATGCACAATATCATTCCAAGTAGACAGTCCTACAAAATTTGTGGGATAGTAACCAGTCATATTTTTTGAGTGTAACTAAAGCCAACTTCATGCTGCTTCTCCTGGAAGAGACAGCTGGACTGGAGCCATGATAAACTCCACAACCGTTGCTCATTCACTGTCTCCTTAACTTGATTAGCTCCATAAACGGTTTAGAGGAACAAGCAATTGAATTACTGGTTTTGCAACACTGCTAAGCTTCACAACGAAGAAATAAACATAATGAAAAAGGATGACTTTTAAAGCTAAGATTTAAAACGAGTGATTCCAGAAAGTCGTGGGAACAAAGACTAATGAGGTACGAATGTATTTTATGGCGTAAAAGACAAGATTATTAACGACATACTGGAAATTTTCTAAAAGGTGGGCGAACATGTTTTCCTTTTTAAAATTAGGAGAGAAAACATCACAGAGTAATGACTTGACCACTGAAAATTTCCAGAGTGGTCATCCTTCCAGTATGAAGCTTGATGTTATTCTAGCCCTTACTAATTCTTGCTCACTCATTGGTTAATATGGAGTCATTTTGCTAAAGCGAGAGCAAAACAGATTCATTTCCTGCATCATTTCAGTAACAACAGAATTCATTGCAGATTTAGGGAAAAACTTGATCTTTGTCTTTAGATTTAACATAGAAAAATATTTGGAAGGCATATCTTTAACTCGACAAAAGTGCACAACAGAACCAGTATAACAGGAAACACACACAAAGCTGATTTATAAGCCCCGTTCACCCATGTACCATTCAGTCATGTCCCAGGAATTCTGCCATATGTTCCTAGAGCTTAACCAATTTCATCTCCCTCAAAGTTGGTTAAGACAGCCAGGAACCGAACTTTGTCTTTGGCCTCCTGCTTTTTTGTCCCTAAGCCTCGGTTCTATGAGGCTCGTGGGACACGGAGCGTCTGAGACCCTTCCAGAACTTACTGGACTCATGTTAAGAATCAAACCACACACCTTTTCTAGTTGTTATAAGGGAGACAATTTGTAAAGGAATTCTCTGTACTACACCAGATTAATGTATGCACAAGGACACATAAATAAAATGTGTAAATGTGTCAGCTGTTTTACTATTATAGAGACAAGCAGCAGTAAGTCAATGGAGGTTCAGGGATCTCTAAATGTTACATTCCTCTTGGTCCAAAAAAAGCACGTCGAGATTTTTTTTTTTTTTTTTTTTTAAGGAAATACAAGATCTAACGTAGTGTCTTGTGTCAGGAGGTTTTTGGGTCTTTTAAGTTACAGAATGGGGCCTCAATGGATCAAGTCTGTTCCAACCCCGCAGATGCAAGATCAGCTTGGGATTTGCAGCGATTGCATTTTAAGCTCTTGGTCATGTTCCCTGAGCTCTAGAGAAGTTTTTGAAGTGTGTTCCACTCTATTGTTCTGAAGTTGGAAGTCTGCTCATCTCAGTCAGGGATAGGCTGTGCTAGGTCTGGAGGGATATTTGTGGGGGTGGAAAATGTCAAAAGATATTACCATGTAAAAGCCATTACAAAGTTTTGCCGCTTTTTTTGTTGTTTTTCACAAAAGCTGTCTCTGTCGGTGTGTTTGCGCCCATTCGTTTCGAGCCGCATGAGCTACTTTCTTTTGGTTTTATTAGCAGTAAAGCAGTTCAGACTGCATCATTGGCACAACTGGATATGTCCAGTAGATTATGCTATAAAATATAAGGCACAACACCACAGCAGTGATGGTTAAAAAAGAGAAAACTTATGGATTTTAAAATACATAATACCAAGCTTTTAACTAACTTAATGCGATGTTTCTCCTGAAACACAGTGCCGTTTAGAACTTCAAACTACAATTACTTTGACGGTGATTTTATTTGTTAGATTTTCTTTAAGTGTCACTTCACTTGGCAGGACTGCGAAGCACTTGGTCCCTGTCCATGTGTGGGTTCTCTCTCAGTACCACCGTCCAAAAAGATGACTGTTACGCTGTATCTCTCTAAATTGTCCTTCGGTATGTCTGCGTGCGTGCGTGCATGTGTGTGTGTGTGATTGTAGTTTGTACGGTGTGTGGCGATGTGGTGAACATGGGGTCCTGTCCAGGGTATTCCCCACCTGAAGGATAAACTGGTATAAATGGATGGATGGATCACGTAAGTTAAATATCCAACCAAGCATCGTTGTGTTGATCATCTGAATATTCAAGGTTCACACATGGAAGACAATGAGGAGCTGTGCAGAGTCATGGCTCAGAGGTGACCACGTCCCGGCCAAGACTTGTGAACTCCACAAATCTACAGTGAGGAAGAGTTCGGCCTTTAAACCTGTTGAAGGTACTGTTGTCAGATGAGAGAGCTGTTCGGCCTGCCAGCAAAACTATACGGTAGGAGTGCGGCCTAAGCGGATGCAGCTGAACTGAAATCAGAGGAAATGTGATAAATTCCATATTTGCTCCCCTTGGCAAAAGAGTGAAAGTGTCTGAAGTCACGTTCCAGTGAGCTAAGTGTCCTGGGAAAGGATTAGGCTGAGTTCTATTTTACTCCAACGCAGTCACCGGATCTCCCCTCCTGGACTAAGTGCGCTCACTCATGTTATCGCGCACTCTCACCGTCTGCGGCTCGGAAGGACAACATCCGGTGGGCGTGACGTCATACGCCGAGCGTGCGGTGATCTTTAAGCCATTTTTCAGTCCCACCACACCCCCAGGATAAGATCGCGTTATTTATTTATTTATTTTTTATCATCACACAATGTTTATAGTGCACGCAGCAGAGCGAATTTAAACGGTTCAACTGGAAATTAAGTGAGCTAAAACACACGCGCGCGCGCGTGCGTAAAAGAAAATAATACGATGAACAGAAGCGGTTCAGCACGTCACCATGGCAACGAGGTTTTTGTTGTCAATGACGACCAAAGTAACGTTCGGACCTGACGGTTTCAGGTTTGGGCTCGTGCGTGAGTTAGCTCGGTTCGCTTCGGTTCGGCGGTTCAGCGGCTTCTAGGCAAATAAAACAAAACACAGGCGTGTCGTCGCGCGAAGCGGTGGAACGATGGACTCAGATTCGCTGTCCTACTCTCTGGACTTCATCGCCAGCAGCGGACGTATTTTGACTCTTGAACAGAGAACCGCCCTTCAGACGTCCATGTTGATCCTGAAGAGGAACTACAACTTCAAACGGGCCATGTTCTGGGGGAAGATACTGGGCATAAAGCAGGACTACTTCATTGCTCAAGGGAGAAGTGAAGATGAAATAAAAAAGAACATATTTATATAGGTAAGGCAGTCATGTCAATGATGCAAATCCTATTTCTTATTTTCTATTATTTCTCCTATTATTATTATCATTAATAATACAATGTTTTTTTTGTCTGTGTCATTCAGCTTCAACTGCATGGACTGGTTCCTTCTTCCGACCGTCACTGAGAGCATGATTGAAGAAGTGGCCAAAACTGCTAGGGGTCATTTCATAGGAGACCCCTCTTATGTGTATGAACTAAATCTATACTTTCAGACTGAGTCAGAGGAAGAACCAGACCCCAACGTGGTAAGTACAGAAATCTGAATTTGGATTACCATAGGAGGTCACCGGGGGAGCGCTCAGAAAATTCAGCAATGAGACACTTTTCAACAGGCTAAATATTACATTAGAAGGAAAAATGCATCTTTTATGTTACTTAGAATTGATTAGCCAACAATAACTGTACTCCAAACTGCATTTTGAGACATGGATGTTGCATTTACCAATATTGTAATGAAGTTTCTTGATTTTTAAACTCCATCATAGGTCATCATCAACAACAAGGGTTACTTTTTCAGTCTTCTTTTAAACACATCTGTGTTTTCGGTGAAGTCATTGCGTCCCGTCTGTGTTACATTCTCCCTTCTTGGTTACAGAACAAAGTAAGTGAAGAGAACAGGCTGGCAGTGGTTATTCAACAGATCGATGAGGAAGTGTCTGTGGTGCCCCGAGGTGCCTTCATCAGGACTCCACTTGGCCTTGTCCATGTCAACCGCAGTTTTGAGGGTAACTTTGTTGTAAATCTTGTGGTGCAGATTCCTCTGATTCACTGTGTATCAGGCAAAGAATGCAAATGACTCAGACAGTCTCTGTTAAAGAACCTCAGGCATTTTTGATTGAAGTGGCTAGACATGATAGAAATTTCAAGGAGGCATCATCTCTGTTTACAATATCTTTGGCTACTTGTGTATTCAGACACATTCTTGTTTTGCTCCAGTTGTATCTCAACGTACATTTTCTGTCTTCTTAGGTCTTTCTGAATCAGAAGCAAGGAAGCTTGACAATTTTCTACACTTCCGTGAACCGAGGAGAGAAAACCTTTTATATCTCGAAAGGATGGGGGACTGGTGCCCAGCCATCGACTTCCTGGATGTCATCAATGACGACATTCCTAAAGGTAAAGCTGCAGTGCTCTCATTACCTATTGTTCGTCTTACCCAAGCTGTCAGCTGACAGGTTGATGGTCAAGTCTTGGTATGTTCCAGATGTGCCATTGAAGATTGTTTTATAACCAAATCTTGCTTTAAACTTCTCAACAACTTCACTTGGTAAGAAAATATAACCATAATTTTCCACAAATAATAATGGATTACTTTAAATTGGTCTATCAGCTTAATTCCCAATAAAATACGCTAACGTTGGTTGGATTAATATTACAATTACAAATTAAATGTTTAGTACTATTAAGATTGTTGCAGAAGAGGACAATACTGATAAACTCCAAAATGACAAGTGGTTACATTGCTGTCAAATTGGATAAAGCTTCTGGAATTTTTTTTTAATAAGAATTCCTCCTTTACAAAATATGTTAAATTTTATTCATGCAATCCAATGATAAGACTATTTGTTTTGATCTAAACTGTCAGGACTTTGGATTGCAAAAGTGAGAGAAAAGTAAATCAGAAATATTCCACTGAATGTGCAAAATGTAGATGGAATGAGATAGTTAGCTTTCTCACTGCTGTGTTTTAGTGTTGGCAGCCTAAGGCGTTCTATGTAATGGAAAAAAAAAAAAAAAAAAGGAAGAAGAAGAAAAGACAAATTCAGGAGGCAAACATTAAACCACAAATACTTTACAACCGGTCGTGCGAATTTAGATATGCACAGTCATGTCAACATGACACTGAGGTTTGTCGCTGGATCCCATCCAGGCCTGAGCGAACATGCTCAGTGAGTTCCTGGGGTGTAAAGCTATGTGCATGTCTGAAGACTGGAAGAAATGTTTAGCACCCACAAGCAAACACTTAACAGATGTCTGCCTCAGGAGAACTTCCACATGTGCATTTGTTTACGTGAGCAGTGTCGTCACTACAGCAGACAACACGTAGCTGCTTCAGCGCGACGCTCGCTCCAGCCTTCGCTGAAACAGGTTGAGAGTTCTCACTGAAAACGATAAGGACGGGATATTTAGAAATGATCCCTCAGACGGGAGAGGAAAACAAACATATCTCTGCCAAAATACAGGGGCTTTCTCTGACCTTGGCTCCCTCCTCGTTCACAGCTTTATTTACTGTGCTTTTGTTTTTCCCTGCAACAGTTATGATGAGTTGCGTCTTACACAATAAAGCATCCATGGCAGTTTTTACTTCGACTTTCATCATATTCATAAAATGTGTCCAAAACAAACAGCGTTGGGAAAAGCTGGCTTATCTATCAGAATTGCCTGTCTTTTGTGTAATCGAATGTTTTCATACTGGCCAATCCAGCTCTCGTTCAACTCCCATGTCCCTCATGTTGACGGTTCCACCCAAACATGTTGAGAAACGAGCTCGGCGGCAGACATCAAAACGCACAAAGGGATGATTTATTAGTGTATCCCTTGGCAGTTTTCTACGTGTAAACGAGATGGTGTTCCCAAAGATTACTGTGGGATTTACTTCAATGCAGAAAGCAGGATGTAGCAACTTCCTGTGGTTTAATGCCAACTGTTTACAGGTTTGCCGTGTTTGTGTTTAGGATCGTGGAGTCTTCAGTTTGAGTGTGCCAGCAGAGTGTGTGTGCTGCGCAGCCTCCTGTGGTTTGGACTCACTTTCTACCATGTGCCAAATACGCCGCAACATGGATACGTCTACATCGGCAACGGGCTGAAAAACCAGGACCTTCCTTTCATGCTGTAATATAAACATGCTGTTTTTTGATCTCAGAATTCTTAATTTTTGTTGTTGTTTGGATCATAAGAGTAACTTAGATCAGTTAACAACGAGCCATTTGGTTCTCTTCTACAAAAGCTACTGTTATACAGTAAACACAGAGTGAGAGTGAGAGCAAACATTGTCATTTTATTTAAACATCTGTTTTGCGTTGTGTTGTCACAATCAACACACCACCTACTTTGAAAGTGTAACACTGAGCTCAGTTGTTGGTGAACTGAAGTTGTTGGAGAATGTTTTGACAGTCAAGAAAGATGGTTCTGGGTGGAGCTGATAATGACTCATAATAGGTCTGATGCAGATTAATAAACAAAAGTTATGCTTCAGACAGCTGTCTCCCACGCCTTTATGACATAAATCCAGACTACATCGAATAAAAACCGAAGACCCCGCCTCCTCCAGATGATCTGTCCTTCAGTGCTTTGTGTACAGCGGCTTCACACCGTACCGCACATTGTTCCTTAGTGCCGGGTGACCTACATCCATGCGCTTCTTGCACCACTTCAGTCCTTTCTTATAGATGGGTTTCACCGAACCAATGGACCAGCGAGTCAAGTACCTGTTAACCAAACATAGATGTGAAAAGAATGTTTTGTAGCATTAAACCAGACAAGAATGCATGTCGATAACGGAGGAAACACACAAGCTGCCACAGACGCAAAGCAGCACCTGTTCAGTTGGGGTTTGGGTCTCTTTGGGACGTGACCCTCTGGAAGTTTGGGTTTGTGGTCAGGCAGCAGACCTTGAACACAGACAAAAAAAAAAAAAAAAAGATGCATTACTTTTAGTGTTTCGATACAAAATGAAATTCTCACAAATTAAGATTCCCTGTTCAAATGAGTCCTTGAACCCACCCATAGTCAAAATATGTAAAATTTATTTTTTATTTTGGAATTAGTCAGATTATAGTGTTGGCTCTAGAGTGCAGAAGTAAGTAGAATGAAGTTCAGTGTATATATGTGTACATATGTATTTTTTTGTTGTTTTTGTTTTCCATCTTTCAAAGTTGGAATTTTGAATTCCAACTTTGTTTGCTTTATAATACTCAAGGAGGTTACAGCAACTCGCCTAGTTTAAACGCTGTTTAGCAGATAAAGCAAATGCCTAAAAACAAACTAATGATCCAAATCTTGACAAATAAACTGTAGTTTTCATTTTGACTCAAAAGGTGTGTTTCCACTGCAAATCAGATCACCATGGTAGGAATTTACAGCCGGAAAAAGTCTAAGTTAGCAGGTGATACGTTTGATATCCACCCTACATCAATAGAGGACTTTTGTAGTTGGAAGGTGCCAATTATTTTTACAAGTTAAGTATTCCCAACATTAGCTTCTCAATCATTTCCCACTTTTATATAACTGAAGAAATATGTATCTGTTTGCAGATACTGAAACACAGTCACCATTAATAACACCAGTGTTTTGCAATGGTTACATTCAAATATGTTGGTAAAACCAGCTAAACTCAAAGGCAAAAATCATTGGTAGACTTCAAAGAGCATGCCAGTTTTAGTTCTATGGTACTTCACACTTTGGTCTTGTCTAAAAAAAAAAACCCAACATATTTTCTAAGTTAGATAATTCAAATGCAACTTGACAAAGTTCCACGCCTATTCCCAGTTCCTTTTTTTCCCCCCATTTTGTTGTGCAACTTAAGTGGCTTGGAAAAATATGCTTTTTTGCTATGAAGGAGAATGTGCTTGTTTCTTTTTACCCAACCAGCAGATGCAGCTTTACTTCTACTAATGTGCATACGAACCACAATGAGTTTTCGTGATTGCAACATATTCCCAGCAAAACAAAACCTAAAAACACAGAAACACCTCAGTAAATCCAAGCCTCGCTTTTTCCAGCTGGACACTCACCTGCTCTGTGTGCCATCTGCACACAGATGGCAATCTTGCGATGCTCCTCGAAACAAAGACCGGTGACTCGTCTGGGCAGCATTCCTCCATCTGACCTGATGAACTGACTGAGCAATAAGACGTCCTGAGGAATTAGAACGAAGACAATGAAGTATCTCTTACTAGTAATGCGACTATAATGATGGGATTATTCAGGAAGCATTTCTGCCGCATTACAGTGTAGTTGTATTTGTTTTGCAGGTTCCATCTATAGATAGGACACTTGGCTGTGGGATTTGGAGGTTGTGGTCCTTCTGGTACGTCTATGATTTGTCCCTCAATCTAGAAACAGAAAAGAAATGATAAAACATGAACTGTGATAGTTAATAATAGGTTTTATGATAGAAGTAGTAGGTTTAAATACAACAGAGAATTAAGTATATTTTTGCATCAAAGCATATATGTTCCTAACCTCATCTTTTGTTACTCAGCTCAAAAATGTGTCACCAAATACAAGATTTTAGTAGAAGATTTTCTAGAGAGAAAAAGTTATTGCAATTCTTAGTTTTGATTTAATAAATGCAAAAGAATATGCTAATTTTTCTGGTCACAAATCAGGGTCAATCAGGAGAATACTCTATCTGGCCTGTCTGACTGTTAAATATTTTTTTTATATGTAAAAGAATACATATATGTTTGAAGTTAAAGACAAAGTTTACTTACTATTGTTGTTTTGCCATCGTTTTTCTCCACCACTGTGAAGAAGACATCAAACAATATCAGGTTTTACTTATTAATGACCTCAACAATATTTTTAAATTACATTTTACTGTATGTAGGAGCCCAAATAGGATCAGCCAAGGGGACAGTAAAACAAGTATAGATTAAAGCAACTCTCATAAAACACATTTAATGAACACATAATTTAAAGGGCACTTAAAATACAACTTTTGTGTCAAAAAGAAATGTAAAAAAAATTGGCAAAGAAGAAAGAAGTCAAGTTCAAAGTCTGTTTCTTTGACGATTTTTATTTATCATTTGTAGGTACAGCTCAATAAATTTGAGGAACTGTTTAAATAAAGTCCAATATTTATTACTCAATTCAGAAGCTCACAGATGTATTACATACAAAACGAAATATTTTAAGACTTTGTTTCTTGACATTTTTATTTTGTAAATCTATGATTTACAAATAACGGAAACCTTTGAAACGTAAAATCAGTGAAAATCACAGTGAAACGGAACTGGTCTACATAGTGTTGTCAAGAGGAAGATGAGAGACACCAGACCGAACGATGCAGATGACATGAAGCCCACTGTCATAACAACCTGAGGTTCTGTGATCATGTTTGGGCAGAACCACAGGCTGACCACCTCCATGTCATCCTGCATTGATGGAAATGAGCCCCAACTAAGTATAAAACGCATAGAATTGAACATACCTTCCAAGAGCCTGCTAATTGTGTTTATAATATCACTTTTTATCTATCCTGTATAATATTAATTTTCTGACACTGAGCGCTGAACGATTATCGTAACCTTAATTACCAAATTTAAGGTTTGGTAATTACCAATACCTAATTACCGAAACGAGAAATTAATCTACTGCATATCATGCACGAGTTTCTCTTTTTGGAACGATTCTTAAAGTAATATTTGCTCGAAGCTGTAAATGAAGTGAAAGCCTCTGCAAGACAACTCACTTATAATCTTAGACAGTAGGATGCTGACCGGCAGATTTGACTGTGACAAGTTAAACAGTAATTTAATAAAATATCTTGTTGTCATGACTTATAGTTTTTGCAGGATACGATTATGCCTATGCTTTAGATAATATCAAAGCATTCTTTGTAAACATGTTTAGAACCCTAATTGTCTTCTCTATCGTCTCTATCTTAAGATAGAAGGTGAGTATTTGCCAACAACGAGAGGAAAAATCATTCCAACATAGGCTAACTGTATGCTAACACGACCGGGTGGCTAAAGCAGCACCATTTCTGACGAAGCCTTACCTTGACGAATTCCTCTGGTTTGCATGGCCACAGCAGATATCTGGGGAACATTAACCCCGCGGAAGGAATTAACGCTGGTCCCCGTGAAACTCTCTTTTAAACCTGCAAATGAGGTCCAAATAGATCTTAGCATACTGCGGGCCGCCATGTTTGCTTCTTGACCTTCCCCTTCTCTTCTTCATTTGCTAGGATGTATATTAAAAACAGCGACACCATCGGCAAGAGTCATAATTGCAACCCCAACGTTTTGAGTGTTTTCCACCAGAATGGATAATGCTTTATTTTGAGTTTAATCAGTGAAATAAAGACAGTATATTATTATCACATTTCCTTTTTGTTAATTTTCGAACGATATTGATCTCTGTAGCAACTTATGTCGCGTGTGAACAGCACCAACGCTGGACCAGCTCGATTCAACGAGTTTTCCTTAATGAATGATTCAATCTGGTCATTTAGTTTTACTCTTATAGTCAAGGTCTCATAAATTAAGTAGGTCTCTTGTTGTTTCCCTCCACTGAGATCTTTAGTAAAAGGCTAAATAGTTATTCGATCTGAAGAGAAACATGAGTACATCATTGTATTTAGGATCCACAGGCCTTTACACTCAGACATACGATACTGTAATGGCAAAAATTAAAACTTCAACAAACTATAAGAGAGTTAAAAATGATATTAACAGACACCAATATTACCACCGAATTCTCTGGTAAATCCTTTTACGAACTTAAATATTACCGTGAATAAATTGTAAATCCCATCGAACAGTGCATCATGGATACAATTAGAACAGGTGATGAGAGTATCTTTTTTTTTTTTTAGAAGCAAAACAGGAGCAAATAAAAGACAAATTTTTGAAGCCTTTTGTCTGAGGCTTTTTGTCTTTCATTAGATCCATTTATACATATCACAGTTTGTGTCCAGTGACATTTTTAATATCTGCAGTTCTTTTTGAAATTTTACTTGGCAATGTGAGCTGTTTAATTTCTTTTCTCTGCACTATTTCAGTACATTTTTTAGGAATTTATTTTCAGAATTATGTGATTAGTTTTTGCAAGTATAGAATTCATCAAAAACTTTTCAGTAAACTTTTAAGGTAAACAAATTTTTGAAAGTTTCTGGTCATATTATACAAAAACTGTCTTCATGTGAAAACACTACCATAAGCATATCAAGCTTCTGAAAAAGTGATGGGAAGTCAAAATATAGAAAACATTGTGTTATATATGATGTAAAAAAAATCTTCATTTCATTGTGACTGAAAAAAAAACTATTACTCATATCTTTATGTGAAAGAGTTTGTGGCACTAGTTTCCTCTTTTTGCAGTAAACAGACAGAAAATGGGCAGAGCATGAAGTAGAGTATCAAATTGTCCTAAGGGACAATTTGATACTCCTTTAGGAGTATCAAAGGAGGGAATCAAGTTGAAATATATATATAGATATTTAATGATTTATGATGTATGCAATTTGTCTTAAAAATGGAAGTCATGATGCATTCAATATAAAAAATTCTGTCTCAGAAAGTTGAATGTCTGCTAACAGCCTCGAGCTAAGGATCCAATAAGACTCCAGCGAAAATGAATCGTAAAAGTTGCTTGCACAAATGGTTTATTGGCACTTTTGATGGTTTATACCTCATTAAACCAATAGCACACAGAGTGCTGTGACTGAACATGTTCCATTAGAAATTAAGGAGACAAAATAGTGAGAAATATTTTTGTTTTATTTGTGCAAATTGTGGTATCTAGCACCCAAATACCTTCTGCTTTTCCAACTAGCAACCAGAATGCTTTCAGTGAACTGAGCTAACGTCCAGGTCAAACTGAACAGAAGCAACATTTTTGTGCGGAGTGACGAGGCTAACTGCTTCAAGTAACACACACTGAAGGCATGAAGAAACACCTTCACATATAAAGATAGTATTGATTGGTACTGATTGATTTAATATTAAACAACATATCAGGCAATTTACTTCTGCAACTTTTCTAATTTTGTCACTAAAAATGCAAATTTAAATGCCTGTTGGAATGTTTAATTTGTACTGGGAATTTTGACTTTCCAAGTTCCAAAACTGGAAAAAAAAAAAAAAAGAACACCTGAAAGTAAAGTAAGAGCTACCCAGCCAACCTCGAGTTCAGTGTGAGGCAAAGCAGCCATATTGAATTTAAGACTTGTAAAGTCAAATTTCCCAGCACAAACAGAACATTCCAATGGATATTTAATACAGATAAAAATTTGATCTGGCTAAATTTGACACAGAATAAAAAAGGAAGAAGGAGCTACATGAAATGTAGCCTGACGTACACAAGTGAAGGTAGCATCTAGATTCAGATATCTCTTGTGCAAATTGTTTCAGGCAAAACATTTTTTTTTTCAGTTTCACTCTACTTAGCAGTGTGCTCATCATTCTTTTGTTGCTTTTCCTCAGAAGCAGAGCGATAGGCTCAATGTCCATTCTTCTTTTTGTACCCTGCTCATCAGATGAAAGCGTCCAGGTGAACCTACAGGACCATTGTCAGAACATGCCAGGCCTTCAATGCAGAAACTTCAAGATACAGGTAAACTCTCAAAGCACAGATCAAGTGGCAGATAAGGCGTCTGATGTTTGATAGTGTTATCATGAGAACACTATGCCGTTATCCAGTTGCAATGCTTTTGTTTGCTATGTTTCTGAGTCTATCTCGCGTCTTTTTCTTTATGCATAACGGAGGGCTTTGAGGAATCCAAAGCTGGCCTGCAGCTGCACATCTGCGTGCAAGTAAAGGTCTTTCTTGAAATAAATGACAGTGCTTTCAGAACATGGTTGAAGCCCTTTTGAAACTAAGGTTCCCCGTGGAGGTTTGACCACTGGAAGTGCCAAGCAGCAATAATTTAATGTGAAGTCTGGTATTATTGCGAAAACTGATGAATGCACACTGTGAGAAACTTTTCGTTTTATGAAATGTTGGCGGCTGTTAGTTGTGACAAAAACAAACGGAGGAGTAAGAAGGAAACGTAGTATTAATGTAAACACCCCACAGTTTGAGGTTTTCCAAAATAGGTCTTTTATAACCTCAGCCAACGAAAGCATTAGTTGCTTGTACATCTTTGATGGTATCTAGAACTGGGTACAGATGTGAATGCAGCCTGGGCACATTTGGGATGGTTAAACATAAGATCGCAGAAACCACTGCAAAAAAAGAATGATCCACTTATGTTCAGACAAAATGAATACGAATCTACTAACTCAATTAGCCTACATGCAGCCATTAAATAGTAAAAGAAAATCAAGGAAAGTGATTTTACTTTGTTGTGTTTTACAAGTTGAAAGATGGCAGCACATGACTTTTTTAAAGGTAAGTAGGAAGTTCTTCCTCTATGGGTCATGTCTGTTGCAAATGGGTTTGTAAAATCTTTTACATTGCCACTTCTTTAGTCACTAGAGCACTGCTGTGGAAAAAGTGTTATAATCTTGATTTTCAATTCCTGCAAGCATAAAAAGAACCGTTTTTGTATCAGTTTCCAAGGATTTATTGCTGATAACCTTATATTTTTATTTCAGATGGTTGTTACATTACACAACAATGTATCTAGTTAGCGCTTCTGTCGTTATCACACAAATGGACACTACTACTTTTTAAAATGACTCTGGAAAATTTTGTTCCCAAGCAAGTGCAAATCTAAGTCATGGCACTTATTCTTGTTTTATAAAAATACATTATTTTAAATGCAATGGACTAGAGATAAAGAACAAAAAGTCTGTTTCTGTGAAAATCAGTAGATTTAAATCAATTTCCAGCAGAGAGTCATATTATCTTTCTTGGAGGTCGTCAACATTAAGAGATGAACTCCTAATGTTTTGGTTGTAATTTACATTAAATCAGAAGCAAAAACTTTATAGAGCTGTTTTAATTATTATTCAAAGACTTAGATATAATCTGAGCTCCAGGTTGCAAAAATCAACAGGAACACATTCTCAAAATAGAAATATGACTCGGAAGGTTGGAGACGACTCACCAATCACCGTTTTTAGATGCAGCATGGCCATCATGCACATGAAATCCACAGCTGCAAAAATAAAAAAACTTGATTACTTTCACTTGTTTAAAGCCATGAAATTGATTTTAAAAAAATACACTCGGACTGCATTGAGCTTCTAAACTTTAGATTGATCCCTGAATAGAGCAACCACAAAATCCCAGTAGCTCCCTCATTGGCAGCTGTTAGGTTGGGTGTGATGTATTCCCAGATCAAAGATCACCTTTCCAAGTAAATAGCTAGAAGGATTAGTTTTTAAAGTTTATTTAAGCCTGAATTGAGTGAGTCAGCTCCCTCTGAGGGCAGATCCTTGCCACAAGAAAAATGTGAGATCTATTTTTTCATAAGTCATCCAACATTTAGATCATTCTTGTCAAGCATATTTGGTTGCAGTCTTATCAAGAATAAGTTGTACACAATTTAGCTTTCAAATTTAAAACATTTAATTGGTTTGAATATTTTAGATTCAGTGAAATGTCCATTTTTCTTTTTTTTTTGTATCTCTTGAGCTCTTGGGAACCAGAATAACTCATTGTTTCTCACTAAAACCTCTAAAAGCTTTGTGGCATTTTGCTGATTCGTCTGCTAAGCCCCTGTTCACGCTGGACAAACAAACCACTAACGCCCACAAAAGTCTTATCTTTTGTCTTCACTGAGAATGGTGCAATCAGCATTCATTCCTAGGTCAAATGACTCTTCCGTTGTCACAGCTGTTTGTCTGTTCACCTTTGATTTTCAGTAGATGTACAAACAAGTTTTGGCCCTTTATAGGGTTAATGCTGTAGGCTTGTAAAGACTTGTGGCTATTATCTCCAATCTAATGCACTAACTGCGCCCGTTTTCACTCAAGCATTCATGAGACACTATTATTCATTCAGTTTTGCATTTCAAGGGAATTAAGAAAAAGATAAAAGAGTAGCAACTGTGAGTTGGGCTCATTTTTTTCACTTCAGATCAAATTTAAAGGAATTTAACAGTAATTTAGGGTTGTATGTGCAAAAATCTGAAAATGCTGGTTTATTTCATATTTACTTTAACTGTTGCAGTGCTTTGCACAAATGTTTATTATCTTTGGAGCTTTTCCAATTGTATTTTGCCAAATTACAACCACAAAAATTAAGGATTTTTGGACATAATTCAACATAAAGGAGTGTTTAATTGTTGCACTGAGAGAAAGAATTTGTGGTTTCAGTACATTTCAATATTTCTAAAAAAAGTACAAATCTGAAAGGGAAGCTGGCCGCAGGTGATGTCGTGGTAGACAGAGCTAAATAAAGGGCAATACTGGAAGGAAACTTGTTGGAGTCTGCAAAAGACTTTAAGTTGGGGCAGATTTTCACTTTACAGCGAGACAGTGACAAACGTCACCAAGTTTTGACCTAAATCCAATTGAGAATCTATTGTGATTTAGAAGTGAATGTTTACTGGAGCTCTCCATCCGACTGGACTTAAAATATTTTGTGAAGAAGAATGGACAACAGATTCTGGTCTCCAGATCTGCAAAGCAATAAGTTACTCCACCAGACCTCCCAGATTTAATTCTACCAAAAAAAT